ATCCCCATATATATATATATATATATATAAAGAATGGTCGGAGGCTATGATACAAGCCCCCAGCCACCCTCATGTGCCTAACAACACAATTTTACACTGCAAGATAGAGGCACTGAAGTGGGCTCGAACCCGTGAAACCAAGGGACTCACGACTGACAACACAACTGCCAAATGAAGAGTCAAGATGGACGATTTGATTGACGGAGGGTGGCTTGGGGCTCGCATTTCTCCGGGCAACCACAAACAGTTTTTTGCTTTTTCATATGACCAGATTTTTCCATACAAATGAGCAATACCCCGAAGTGAAACCTCGGTCATGAACCGACCCGACCTAATTAACATCTGTATAAACAATAATAGACCGAGATGTTTGACAAGAGAAAAGCAAACCTGAGCCCGATGTACCTTTTAAATAGTGGAGAATCCAGTGGATAGCTTGAAGATGATATTCATAGGGGGTCATGCTTGAATTGAATCGCTATGCCAACTGTGTGACATATGTCGGGGCGAGTATGAGCGAGGTAGATGAGTTTCTGTACTAGATATTGATAGTGAGTCTTATTGACAGATACAACATTGAGATTGTCGGATATTTTTTTATTGGAATCTATATGGACAGTCATTGGTTTGCATAGAAGAAAGTTGTTCTCTTTCAACAGATAAACCACTTATTTGCGCTGAAATAGACAAATGCCTCCAGATGATCGAGTCACTTCCATGCCTAAAAGATACTAGAGAGATCCCAAGTGCTTTATTTCAAATGACTCAACAAGAATGACTTTCAAGTACTCCAATAGTGAGAGATCATTATCTGTAAAAACAATATCGTCAACATAGACCATAAGGATAGCTACCTGACAATTGGAGGAATGCTGGAAGAAGAGTGTGATCAGATTGAGTCTGAGTAAAATCATGACGCACGACCACATTTGTGAACTTGCCAAACCAAGCCCTTGAGTACTGTATTAGACCATATAGAGACTTTCACAGCCTGCACATTTGTCTGTTGGAGGTAGTAGAGTCAAAGACAGGAGGGAGAAACATGTATATATCTTCTGTAAGTTCTCCATTTAAGAACACATTCTTGGCATCTAGCTGAGATAAAGACCAATCCAGATTTACTGCAAGGGATAACAAAACCCGTATATTGTTTAACTTAGCCACTGGAGCAAATGTCTCATCATAGTTAATCCCGTAGGTCTATGATTATCCTTTGGAGACTAATCATGTCTTCTTGCGTTCAAAGAGTCCATCAAAGTTGAACTTGGTATTGAAAATCCATAAGCATCCCACAACTTTTATACCCCAAGGAAGATCAACGTTTTCCCATTTATGGTTTCGCTAAAGGGCGTTCATCTCCTCTATCGCTGTCATTTTCCCAGTTGGATCATTAAGAACAACCTCAATAGTAGCTGGGATCTGATGGTCTGTCAGGCAGTAGCAAAAGCTTTATGGGTCTGTGATAAACCGTGGAAAGAGACATATTTTGCTATATAATAGATGAAGCATGTCTAATTACATACCTTACTCGGAGAACTTACCTCATTCAAAGGAGTGGCCGTGCTGAGGATGTCGCCCGAGTGGAGTCAAGGTCTTGTAAGGAGGTTGTAGGTTCTAAAGTAGGAGCAGTGGAACGGGTGCACTGAGTGTAGACATGGATAGTGGGAGAAAGAGATGGTGCACTCACTAAATTCAGGAACTCATCGGACCATGAGACTCTTTAGTGGTAGGAACAATGAGGGAACATTCATAGGAGTAGGATAAGGGATTTGTGACTAAGAACCCAAGCTCCCCTTACATGTGGTCGAGCTACGAAAATGGGGAACACTGTCAAAGGAGACATCAACATTCACATAGATTTTGTTGGTGGTAGTAACAAGACACTGATATCCCTTTTGAGTGGCGGAGTACCTAAGGAAGATACATCAGATTGTTTACTCCAGTTGGAGGTAGTCTTTCAAACAAAGGTAGTGCACCAAAAATGTTGGTGTCTAATGTGTTAAAGACTCGATTGACAGGGAAACAAGACATCAGGACAACTAAGGGGATTCTGAACTTGTGAATTTTAAAGATGGGTTCATTTATGAGATAAGTGACATTGAGAATAACATCATTGCAAAAACTTTTCAGGACATTGGAACACTTATTCTTCTCGGCTATCCCATTTTTGTTGATGAGTGTCTGTATACAAGCTATGGTAGAGTATGTCTTTACCCACCAAATATTCACTCAAAATAGAGTTGAAAAACTCACGATCATTGTTAGTTCGAAGGACTTGAATATGAGCTTTGAATTGACTTAAAACGAAGGTGTAGAAGTTTTGGAAGGTGACTACCATTTTCGATTTGTCTTTTAAAATGTAGATCCACATCATCCAAGTTTGCTATTTAATCAAATTCAGAAACCACTTTTTATTGGTGTAGTTGGGAGTGCAACAAGGTCCCTATAGGTCAATGTGAATGAGAGAAATGAACAAAGCAAGTGTAAATGTGGGGTGGGTAATGACCCGATGATGTTTGACTAACTGACACACGTCACAATTGAAATTAGAAAACATCAAAGGATATGAATTTTTTAAATATTGAAAATTAGGATGTCTTAAATGATAATGTAACAACATAATGAGACACTCAAAGACTCGATATAAGCTACAACTCTTGAGAGGTGTGTTCACACTCTCCGTGCTCTTCCCGTGGAAGTAGTAGAGTTCGTTACCCTTTTAGCAGTTTTAATCATCTTCCCCAAACGACGATCCTAAAAAATACGACCATTAAAAGAGAAATTAACAACACAATCAACTTCATTAGTCAACTTGCTGACAGATAACAAGTTACATTATAATTGGAGAATATGTAAAACAGACTCTAGAGTTAGATCGATTGTAGTAACAATCGATCATTTATTAGCTTGAAACTACATGAAACTATAAGAACCATTGGTAATTCTGGCTCTATCTTTTCTAGAGCAAGGATAGTAAGTTGAGAAAGCTTGCGAGTATTCAGTCATGTGATCCGTGGCTCCCGAATCAATAATTCACGGACCAGAGGAGAAATAAATTGTGAGAGTCATAGAAAGAGTACCTTGTCAGACGTGGGAGGTCGACATGCCCGTAGAATTTATTGGCTCCAAGAAGTTTAATCAATTGCTCCATCTAGTTTTCAGTGATTCAAAGGATTCCAGGATGTTTTGGGTAGGAGTTAGTTTGAGCCATGGTAAGATCGGCCGTTGCCGTGAGATTTTTGGCAGCAGAGGATTTGTTCAAAGGTTTGTAAGCTGACTTACTGTGAAGTTTCCAACACTTTTCCCGAGTAAGGGTGGGTTTGTGACCGTAATCACAAGTGGGACGAGGGTTGAACACTATTTAAGATCAAAATTGACGATTCGGTTGACGGAGTAGATGTGTCGAGTATAACATGTCTCCTGCTTTCTTCTCGACGAATCTCGGTAAAAGCAGCGTGAACGGAAGAAAGAGGATCCTGACGAAGAATACGACCCCAAGCTTTATACCCGAACTTCGTCATGATCTTTGTTAAGGCTTACAATCCTTTTCTTCAATCTTTCGAAAGAGGGATACTTCTCCCGGAGACTTCCAAGTGTAGTTGTAGTACAGGTCGCATTCCATCCATAGTGTAACTAAGTCATTATAGCACCGGGTCACGGTAGATGGACACAATTTCAGGAATTCAGATATTTGCAAGGAACAACAGAGGAAGCCTTTTGTGAAGCTTGCGCATGCTGTTGGAACCTTCTATGAAATAGAAAAAAAAATTGCTGCAGTTGGAACTTCTGTAGAAATAACAAAGTCTGCGCTTGCTACTGGAAACAAAAGGAAAATTGCGGTTGTTGTAACATCTTGTAGAAACGGCTCCTATAGGATCAACGATAGTTGGAAACAAGAAGATTAGCGGTTGTAGAGCTAGGAGATGGACAATAGGAACACAACATGAAACACTTGCGACAGACGAATAACACAGAAGAGAAAACCCTTGACTGTAGGATCAGGTAGAGGCCATCGTCTGTTGGAACCGACAGAGGAGGGCGGCGGTTTCTGGATCTAGGGTTAGTTTCTGTTGCCATGTTGAGATTTGGAATAGAACAAGTTAATTTTATTGATAGAAGTGGTATTTATATCCAATACAATAGACACAACAAAGGAATGAAGTAAAACAGACTAAAACAAATAGGAAATGAATAACACAGAATAAAGCAAAAGGGAAATACATAACAAGTGAATAAAAGCCATTTTTTAATTCTCACTCAATATTAAAATTCACAATAAAACTCTGACCCAAATATTTTATTTTGATCAAATTCCCAATGATTTGATCAGAGCACATGTAAATGCATTGGCTTTGTTAAAAAAAAAAGAGTTCTGATTTTGTAAATAACAATGTTTCTGAGTGCTATGTATGTAAATATCATCTTATGTCTTTATCCATTATTTCTAATCTTTCTTGTATTTCACTGATTTGTTGGGACCCATGCTACAGACCTTCAAATCTCCCCACCAAGGATACCATTAGCTCTGATACCATGTTAAGATTTGTAATAGAGCAGCTTAATTTTATTGATAGAAGGGGTATGTATACCCATTACAATAGACACAACAAAGAAATGAAATAAAACATAATAAACCAAATATAAAAGGAATTACACAGAATAAGGCAAAAAAAAGAATACATAACAAGTAAATAAAAACTAATAGGAAAAAAATAATAAGTAATAACGGCCAAGGGTTTGATTTTCGTTATAAATCTATTATTATATAAAAAACTAGTATCCTCTTTTATCCATTTTTTTAATTCTCACTCAAATATTAAAATGCACAATAAAGCCCTGGCCCATAAATTTATTTTGATCAAATTCCCAATGATTTGATCAGAGCACATGTAAGAGCACGTGTGAATGCATCTTATGTCTTTGTCTATTATTTCTAATATTTCTTGTACTTCACTGATTTATTGGGACCCATGCTACAGACCTTCAAATCTCCCCACCAAGGACACCATTAGCTTTTGAACTTCCCTATCTTTTTGTTTTTTTTTTTCCTCTTCTTTTCTCGTATATTCTCAGATTAACAAGCTATGTAAATAACTGACATCATTTGAGCATCACATTGGTGCAACTAGTCAAGCCCCTACATTGCAAGGGAGGATGAAAATAACGAAATTACCCAGTTTTGTTTTGTGTTGAACGGTGACATGTGCTATCGTGTTTAATTTTGAGCAAATAAATTAAAATTAAGATATATGCAAATTATGTTACATTTTAAAGATAATGTTGTTTAGTTGGTTGTTAAATAAATTATTGGAATTCCGTTTTAAAATTAGATTGTTTATTTGCTTTAATGAAGTTAAATTTCAATGTAATTCGTTCGGTTTCAGTTTTATAGAATTTCAAGTTTACGCATAAAATACTTTTTTTTTTTTTTTTTTTGTAATTATGGGCCTCAGTTGTCCTAATCTTTTTTCTTTTACGTCGTTTACGTTCATTGCATTTCTAATGGCAACTCTAAAACACTTGATGCATCCCCACAGCACTGCTTATGTTGCCGCTTATTTATGTCGTTTCTTGAGAACATGAATACTCACTGGATGATGCGTAATTATAATTATCATTCTTTCTTCCAAGAAATCTGGTTTCCTAACCTGTAGGGCAACCATAACTACTTGATGTAATTTTGTCACAAACTATTTTATTATCTAATTGGATATCTTAACGGCCTATATTGTTTAGGTTAAAGTAAACAGCATTGAAAATATATTTTTGAAGCTGGCACATCATCAAGCTCATGATAATAATGATATAGCCTTTGCATATGTAGCTACTGGGTAATTCTCTTTGTATGATGGTGGAGCTTTTCACAATCATTCAAGCATAATTATGGCAAATTTTTATGTAAGCAAGGCAACAAACTCATATAAATGCTTTTCGGCAACTCGAGCTGTGTTAGATTTATTATTTTTACTAATAATTATTATATCTGGCATGTTCAAATCATTTTTTTTTCTGGTGATTAATCCAATTTTTCCCCTGTTTTGTGCTATATGGTCATTACGGTCTATTACAGATTGTGATGGCTCTAATGCATTTAATGTTTCACTGTTTTAGCATTTTTAAGATTGTTGATAATGATTTAAGTTTCTTTCTCTTCTTCATTTAGGGGTGCTCTTTGAATGAGTGAAAGTTTTTTTAAAGAAAATTATCCGCCTGCAAAGTCGAGCCTTTTTGTTTTTTTCTGAAGAAGAGCTTTTGAAGCAACTTCATCGTCATTTCAATTTATGCCAAGACAATCAGCTTCTAGCTCTGATCTTGCAACAGCTCTAATAGTTTCTTTTTTTTTTCTTTTGCTGCTACCAGGAAAAGCTTGAGAGACGTCGTCAGATGCCCTATCACATGCACATAAACCTTGAACTTCTTGAAGCCACCCACTTGATCAGTGCCATGCTTCTCGAGGTCTCCAATATGGCTTCTAACAGCCATGACTTCAAGCGCAAGATAATTAGCAAGACATTCCGTCGGCTCCTTGACGGAAGTGAGAGGCAAACATTTGTTGGCCCCCCTGAGAATGTCCGAGACCATGTCATGGCTGCCACCAGAGCCCTAAACAAGGGAGATCACCACAAGGCCTTTGATGTTATCAAATCTCTTGACATTTGGAAGCTCCTTAGAAACCGGGAGGCTGTGCTCGACATGCTTAGCACAAAGATCAAGGAGGAGGCTCTTCGAACCTACCTGTTTACTTACTCCTCGTGTTATAATTCTCTCAATCTTGAACGAGTTACCGCATTATTCGGTCTTTCTGATGCCAGTGCGCACAGCATTATTAGCAAGATGATGGCGACAGAGGAGCTTCATGCAAGTTGGGATCAACCAACCAAGTGTATTGTGTTCCATAAAGTTGAGCAAACAAGGCTGCATGGTCTCTTGTCCCAGATGGCTGATAAACTTGGCATCCTTGCTGAAATGAATGAAAAAGCTTTTGAGGTTAGGACTGGTGGTGGCCTTGATGGACTGCCACCACGACGGAGGGGCGAGGGACATGACCTTGCTGGCTCGGCAGTTTCTGGTAGATGGCAGGAAAATTTCCTCTCTGCATCTCAAGGAAGAAGCCGAGCTGGCTCCAGGGCTGTGGGACAAATGGCAGTAGGGTTTCCCAAAGAAAAGGGTGTTGGTGGTTATTCTAACTCAAGGTACCAGGATGCTAATGGCAGTAATAGTGGAGGGAGGACAGCATACCAGAGCAGCTCATCTGCACGAGGATCACAGATTGATGGTGCTGGGCGCCTGGTCAGCCTCAATAAGGTTGGTAGAATTTATTAGATTTTAGAAAGTTCAATGGTGGTGGAGACCAGCTGGCTGGCTGGCTGGCTTGAGATTTTTCAGAGTGATTTGTGTCCTCAGCCTCCTCTATATTTATTCGTATAATCTTTGTATTTCTCTGTTGCTCTCTATATTTTTTTTGCTTCTTAATTGAAATTAATTGTATCTGGACATTATCGTTTATGTGATTTGACGCCCTTTGCTAGAACAGAGCTTATATTCTGAGGACTTAGAAATTACTACTAGGCTTTTGCTATTGCAGAACTCGATTTTGTTGGCTCGTGGGTGATGCATGAGACATGTAAACGATCCGATTTTGAGTGGAGTTGGGGTCAGCTTGAAATCAGCTAGAATATATTTAGTGCGGCTTGAATTGGGGCTTGTGGCTCGTTATATTCAATTTCGAACCAAGCCGGCTCAAAATTGAATCAAATCAGTATGAGTTGGCTCAAATTGAGTTATTTGGATTTGTTTCAGCTCGGAATCGACTCAATCTGGCTCAAAATTAAAATTAACCAACTCAAAATTGAGTTATTTGAACCTGTTTCAGTTTAAATTTGGCTCATGGCTCACAGTATATTTAATTTTGCTTAGCCTTATATATATTGTTTACAAATAAAATATACTAGTAAATTCGCTTCGCTCCATGTTTTCGCTTATAGCTCGGCTTATAAAAAATTTAATTCATAGCTCGGCTGGTTATACCAATCCTATCTGAACCGGAGTAAAAATTTGAATCAATTTTCAAGCTGCTAATGAATTTCAGGCTAAATTCACAGCCCTCATTGCCTGCCCAAAGTTTTGCTAAAGAGCATTTGTAATTTACATGGTTCTTAGCATATAATATAAAATGAAAATAAAATTAAATAAGATCGTTACATTTTGAGCTCTACCAACTTTATTCCTCTAAGCTGACAAACTTCATTTCCTAATAAATTCTTGCAGGGCAACACGAGAAAATTTTGCGTACGATAGACGTACGCAGTGCTGCGTGCGATATTGGGGTATACCGATGGTACAAGGGGGTTACATCCACGGTATAAGCCCTTGTTCTTTGTAACCTCCCTGTAACTTACTTGTAACCTCTTAATATATGATAACAGAAGCGCGAAACTTATTTTAGGGTACAGATAGGTTACAACAAGTTACAGGGAGGTTACAAGGGGTTATACCGTGGATGTAACCCCCATGTGCCCTCGGTATAACCCTAATAACGCATGGAGCGCTGCGGCAGGTCTTACGAGAGCCATCATACAAGTTACATCGAACATTGATGCCGGCGGTAGGCTTAAAGTCATTGATTGCCATTTCTTTCAAATGAATCATATCCACATAAATGTTATTCATCGTGTCTCAACTATGCATATATTTTCCATGGAGACCTTGCTTCTTTGATTTCAGTTGTCCTTTGCAATTTGTTTGCGCTAATAGCCTGCTTAATTAATGGGCAGTGTCATCATCCCACAACCGTCATGGTCCCCAACTTGCTGTAATAACGATTTAATCCTCTTTTTTTTTTTTTTTTTAATTTGGCAGTCAGAAATAAAATAAAAATGTTTTATTTGCAAAGTTGTAAAATGTAAACTTTAATTATTTCATTTCCATGCTGATTAGACATAAGGGGCAAAAGTTGGAAAAAATATTATATCAGTACCACGCACGCAGTGTAACGTGCATAGCCAATGAAATCACGTCACGACACCCCGCGCGACAGAAAAAACGGCGCGGTAACACGGGGAATATTTCTCCTGTGTTATTCATGTGTTATTGTGCATTATTCATGTGTTATTGATATGTCACTGATGTGTTATTGTGTATTATTCATGTGTTACTGATGTGTTACTGATGTGTTATTGTGTTATTATAACACCAGCAATATTCTCATGACACAATAACACATGAATAACACGAGGGGGGGGAATATTCCCTGTGTTACCGTGCCGTTATTCTTCTCTGTCGCGCGGAGTGTCGTGGAGTGATTTCATTGGCTACGCACGTTACTCTACATGCATGTCATATTTTTCCCAAAAGTTGTGGGGGGAAGGGATAACCTTATAAATTCATTTTGAGTAGTACTTCTTATTGCGGGGAATAATATATTAGGCATAAGGCGCAAAAGTTTATGAGAATCCATTAAGACATTAATTTATAAGCTTTGATGGAGCAATAGATCCAATGTGGAATGCTGATGGTCGGCACCAATCATCCCTTTCCGTCTCCTCTTTCTTTTTCCGGGATATTTAGCTAAACTCTTTCCATGATCCTATCTGCAACCAATGTTTGTATCTTTCATCCCACAAAGTTATCTTGTGCAACCCACGTCATATGTTATCTCTTTGTCTTACCACCCTCTTTGCTTCCATCTCTTATTTGCTTTTACAACTCACTTTCGCTTCCTCGCCTCGCTTGCTATTTGATGGCTCACATCTTAAATGCAATATTAGATTCTAGTCTATCTTGCCCTACGTATATTGCTCTCATCGTCTTTGTCCGATATCTTGGTTACTTAAACCTCTTTCCACTTTCTTTCTTTTCTTTTGATGGTTTTTGCGAATAGCTTCTTTTACTTAATTTATGGAGATAAAATACATATTCACAGTTTGTACATGTATGTTTACTTAATGGTTCTAACTTCTTCAGTAATCTTGGGTTTTTGATTTTCTTATATGATCTCGCATGAAACTTAATTATCTCTCTAGAACGAACAAAAATTGCCAAAAACTTCCAATGAAAAATTTTGTTTGAGGAGACTGGCAAAGCGATGTGGGACTTTTCTTACTACATTTAAGATAGTAACATCTATAGGTATACACACTCCATGAAATACTCTCAGTGCAATAGTGGGATAAATTTTTTCAAGAGTATTACCACTCAAATCTTTAATATTACATAAAAAATTAAAACTGAAATATATCTTTTCAACATTAGATCTTCTCACAATTATTTGTTTCTTATTTTTCCTTGCCACAAGATTTCTACTAACAATGATACAATATGTGATGTGACACGCTCTCTTTTCCTCCTTTTTTTCATGGAAGAATTACATTCATGCCACTCAATTCATATGTATTTACATATCGAACACCTAAGCTTCAACTTTTACATGCCACCTTACCTATGCATGAAAACGTCTATTTCACTTTCTAAAAGTTAAAATGATGGTATTTTTACGTGATATAAAAGATTTAATTAGGAGGGTACAAATATAGGAAGTAAAGTTTATGTATTAGATATATAAATACATAGGAATTGGGCGGTATGTATGTAAATGCTTATTTTTTCATTATTATTTTTAATTTGTTTTTCTTAACCTTTTATTTATTTTTTAATCTATTCAACCTTGGTTAACCAGATTATTGACATGTTTTAGGAAGATAAATCTTTGGTACATTTGCAATTATGTGAGTTTACAACTGATCTTTTCTCCTTACCATTTATGTTTTTTCTGTCATTATGACATTATGAAAGCATGTTAGATGCTTGTGAATAAGTAGTAATTTATTTATTTCTTTTTTTCTGTTTTTCTTGAATTTAAATCGTTTCTGACAGTTCTAATTGATCTTTGGAATCCATTACAATAATGAGTTATATAATTAGTATTTTTTCTTCCAGCAATAATTGACTTTACCTGCCAGGTCTTTCTTCAACCTTGTCTTTGTCTTTGTCAATAATAAAAGTAATGATGATGCCTAACCAATTAGTTTTATCATTCAACATGAATCTCACAATGTTTTGCACGAATAACGAGACATTAGCAAAAAAAAAAATATTTAGATTCAAATTAAAAATCATCTAAAACGCAGATTTCAGTAAATTTATAATCAAAATGACCGGCTTAATGAGACAAAATGACACTGAAATTGATCTAATCCGAATCAAATCAAACTCATATCAAATTGTTAACCATTTTTTGAGGCCTTAGATGGTTAGTTGGAAGTTAAATGAACTCCAAATTTGATGTTTTTATAGTAAATTCGAGCTTATAGATGAGAGGAATCGAAGGAGCCCAAGACCTCTTGATTCCAAGGGCATTAAGGCCATCAAATAATCAAACAATCTAATATGGTCAAGATGGATCAATGTGAGATGTTTGATTGGGAGGTTACAGGAGTTATTTGCCAAATGACAAATACACCCCTCCCATGGGGTCTATAAATTAACCACCTCTTCTCAATTGAGGAGGAATAGGACTCGAATTCCAGAGCTATTCAAATGAAGACCTGACAATGACTTTCGTCTCCAATAGCTTAACCATCTCCTTTTTATTTTTATTATTCAGATGTGTGTTGGATTTCATACAATACTGAGACGATAAACGTGTGTATCTCTCTTATTATTATTAAGACCTAACGAAATAATAATAATATTAACATCTTATATCAAGCCGAATTAGATTTGAAATTCGAACTTCATTGGGTTATGAATAGTTTATGCCCTTTTGTGCTAAACGTGTGTATCTCACTTATTTTATATCTATAAGAACTTTTAAAGGGCATCTACATATATAGCAGCCAATTCTTATGTATTTACATATCTTAGACCTAAATTTTATCTTTTATATTTATACCACTTACAAATTTTCGTATCATTTGAAAAATATTTCCATTTTAATTTTTAGCATGTGAAAAACATGTTTTCATGCATAGATATGGTGGTATACATGTAAAAAAAATGAATTATAAATACTATATATATATA